TCTTCGTTGATAAACGACATCAATAAAATGGTGGCGTGGTGTAGAAACTGAACAATGGGGCAGAATTACCGAGTACTAATATCAAACAGTTAGAGCTTTGGATCATAACTAGCAAATGATTTGCGTGATGTTGTAATATTTGTCCTAACAGTCCCAAGAAGTACGATGATTTGCAATGCTTTGGGGACATTTGAACACTAAGTACCACCGTGCAGAGCAGGCATATTTTTTCCCGTTTTTCAGGCCACCAGGGGCAAGCGCTAAGCGAGTACGAAGCGAGAGTCACGCACAAAGGAGGGGAGCACAGAAAGATATATTTTTTGTGTTCTTCCTATGAACTAACATTGATTTTGCCAGATAAACAAGTAAGAAATATCACTTGAGCGATTATTCTTAGTTTTATTAAGTGACCGTTCAATACAAGTGAAGATAGTACAAACAGGCCGCTTAATACAGAGTAACCGCTTAATTCGGTGCCCCCTAATACTGATTTGATTAAAGTTTGGTGTTGTTCATTACGGTTTGGTCTAGTTTAGAGTAGTTTGGTGTAGTTTGCTGCAGTTTGGTGTGGTTTGCTTGGTGTACTTTGGTGTATATATTGTATTTCGCTGCACTTTGCTATAATCATTGTAGTTTGGTGAAGTTTTTGTAGTTTGGTAGAGTTATAGATTGGTATAGTTGAGTGTAGTATGGGGCAGAGATGTTTAGTTTGGTGTAGTTTGGTGTGGTTTGCTTGGTGTACTTTGGTGTATTTATTGTATTTCGCTGCACTTTGCTATAATCATTGTAGTCTGGTGTAGTTGTTGTAGTTTGATAGAGTTATGGATTGGTATAGTTGAGTGAAGTATGGTGCAGAGATGTTTAGTGTGGTGTATTTTGATATGATTGGTGTAGTAGGAACTATTTGGTATAGTTGGTGTACTTGCTGTGGTCTGGTAACGTTTCCCATAGTTTGGTAGGTTTCTTGTAGTTTGGTGTAGTTTTATGTACTTTTTTTTAATACTTTTTTTCAATGATACAGTTTGAGGTATAGTTAATGTAGTTGAATGTAGTTTGGTGTACCTGCCCTAGTTTGCTGTACTTAGAAAAACGTTTGGCATAGTTATTTGTTTTTGGATGAAGAAGATGTATAGTTAATGTAGTTGGTGTAATTGGTACAGTTGGGTATAGTTTATTAAGTTTAGTGTGCTAGTTAAGTGTGTACGTAGTTTGGTGTAGTGTGGTATAGGTTTGAGTAGTTTGGTGTAGTTGGGTGAAGTTTAATGTAGGTAGTGCACTAGTTTAGTGTAGTTTGTTGTATTTTGATGTAGTTTAGTGAAGGATTGACTAGTTTGACATATTTGGTACAATAAAGTGCAGTTTATCGTATTTTTGCGTGATATGGTGTGGTTAAATGTATTTCATGTTCTAGTTTAGAATAGTTTTTTGTAATCTAGTGTAGTTTGCTTCAGTTTAGTGTGGTCCGGTGTACTTCAGTAACATTTTTGCGGTAACTTGGTGTGTATCATGCAGTTTTAAGGGGAGAAGTATCTGAAGAAACTGGAAAAGGATAGGGAGTTGTTTAGGATACTAGCTTAATAATATATTTAATTGTTTCGCATTTTGCTATAGTTTGGTTAAGTTAAAGTTTGGTTTAGTTTGGTGTATTTTGATGTGGTGTGGTGTACCAAACGACACCGAACTACACTGCACTATAACACACTACAGTAAACTACACAATACCACACCAAATTGTGTCCCCAAATTAGTATGGAATTTTAATAAAATTTTTCACATATGTCATTTATTTATTCAACAAACAAACATATAGATGTAGCTTGGTGTAGTCAGTGGACCAAACTACACCAAACTTTTGAAAACAACACCAAACTTTTGAAAACAACACCAAACTACACCAAACGACACCAATTTACACTAGACTTCATCAAATTACATCAAATTGCACCAAACTTTATCAAACTACACCAAATACACCAGACTACCCCAATAGGCCCCGATCCACACCAAACTACAGCAAAACTACATATACCCTACCAAACAACAACAAACTGCAAAACAAATTCCCAAAATAATCCATGCTACACCAAACTTCACCTAATACACCAAATTACACTAAAGTGCACTAATCTTCACCAAACTACGCTTAACTAGTAGGTGTGGTTTGGTTCAGTTGTTACATTAAATTATGCAGATCTACAAGAAAACACAGAAAACTACACCAAGCTACACTAAACTGGACTAACTACAAGATACTAGCATGTCCACCAAACTACTCCAAACTACACCAATTACACTAGACTACAAGTCTTCCTTTTACGAACTTTAAGTTTAGTTTGGCTTAAAAAATATAGACAGTCAAAGACTGCATGTAGCTACTGGTATAGCACAATTTGTTAAGCGCTAAAATAACTCGAGGTTGTATAATGACGCTAAAAGGTACTTTTGTCTCACATACAAAACAGAAAACCTGCCGCATCTCACTTGCTCGCTGCCACAATAAAGCGCCTCTCTTCGGCATAAGTCACTAATTCAAACAGTAAAATGCTCTCTTTTAAAAGAAAAAAGAATTATTCAAAGCTTCCATGTTGTGTGGAACACATTTTTGTATATTAGGGTTCGTTATATACTTCTATAGAGTAAAGCGTGCACAGACCAAGTGCTCTACACAACTTCTTTATTAGAATGTCATGAAGTTAGTTACACACAATGATATTTGAGCATAATCACGTTACTGCGGTCAAAGGTGTGCTAACCAATAGAATAAAGATTACATAATAGCTAAGGTATTTATCCAAATAGGAACAAACACTACACACACCTATTGAGATATTTATGAAAGGATAAGTTTTTATTAAAAGTATGCGTCGGAGGATTATTTTGAGATATTTATCGTATTTTGTAGCTGCACGGCAAGAAATGTGACCATCACCCAGAAATCGCACAAGGAGAGAACTCACATGTGTATCGAGTGCGAATGTCGAACTACTAAGAAAATCCGGAACAAACAATAAGTATTCCAGATAAACCCAGAACTTATTTTCACAACTGCTTAAGTAGTGTTCATTACTGCGAAGATCACTTTCATATCCATTTCTTCATCCGCAGTTCACATATCTGATTTCAATATATTTACAGTCATTTGTTCATCACTTCATGGGTTTATTTGGAGCCAATATAATGACTAGCCCCCAGTCGGATCGTTAGCTCAGTTGGTAGAGTGTTACACCGGTATCGCAGAGGTTACGGGTTCAAATCCCGTATCGGCCTGAATTTTTTTCAGGCCTTAATTTCACTGCTACTCAAGTGGTGTTCATTACCGCGAAGATCACTTTCTTATTCATTGCAATGAAAGTTTTCCTTGTTTCCCTACTTTTTAGAAAGTGAGGAAGGAGAGGGGGAGGTGTTTATTCGAGGCTCAGGTGCTTGTTTCACATCACGCCCAGCTAATTCGGGGGAGGGCACCTATTTGCAGCATGGGCGTTTATTCGAGGAAATACAAGCATATCGAGCATATCCGATTCGACAGGAAGTTGAGCAGATTCCGCTTTTATCGCTGGTTCCTGTTCTGTTCGACAAAATTAGTTAAACCACGTTGCTTTTGACAGAGGATCTTTGAAGTAAGTTAAAGACAACTTTTAATGTACTTTCTCATGTCATCCTCATCTGCTCATGGCCTTTCAAGACGTAATTACTTAATACAAGTTAGATTTCACGCGTAAATTCCAAGATAATGGAAAAGGAAAGTACCACGTGGTCACATTTCTCGACGTCTGCATTCTTTCAGTAGATATACCGACCATTAATAGAAATTACGTCTTCAGTAGTCAATACCCAGGTTCCGTTGATTCACACGTGGCACAACTTCCCTTTTTATTTCACAGCAGCTTAATATTCCTAAATTAAGCGATTGCTGCCTTTTCTCCTCATTTCCTTGACTTAAAAAAGGGGAAAACTGAAATCATGCAGTTTTAGGTCTCGGGAATGCCCCGATGCCACCAAAGTCAGAGCTAGCCTACGTGTAGCCGTACCCTCCCCTGCGTGTTTCGTGACGTCACTCTAATTGATGCAAATAGTGTCTCTTGATAATATCTTTTGGTGAAGTGCCACGTGTTGGCGTGAAGGTCATCGGAGTCTTATTGAGATAAACGACATTGAAGAGAATTCATTTTCCATTATCGGGTAAATTTTCAATACAGCGTCCGAGTTTAAATATAAGCTTTGCTTTAAGGATATAGGAGAAGATTATGAGAGATTTTTGGTTTAGAGTGAGAAGAGGACAATGTTCGATTAGCATCGCGCTTACGAAATTAGATTTCAACGTCCCACGTGGTTTCTGCTTCCATTTGTAAACAGTGCCACGGTCGTTGAAAAAAGTTGCATCATTTGCCGCAGAATCTCAAGGTTTTTACAGATTTCTTTAAGAGATAGTAATGCTGCAAGCGTGTAGAAAGAGCGGCTCTTTTCTCAGTCGAAAGAATCGTTGCAAGAAACAACAAGCTTTCGCAAAGAGACCGAAAGTCGAAGGCGGACAATCCTCTCGGCCCGAGAACATAAAGATAGTGCACCTAGTCTTCTGTGAGAGCTTTAACGGGCGGCACAATAAATATAGTGATCGGTTTCTTCCGGGGAAGATAGGCATCCTTTCGTTCACAATGAGTAGCGTGCATTATGAAAATTACAGTCAGGCCCGAATGGTCTATCATTCGCGTGGCTCACCTCGAAAATATTCTGTTAACTCGAGCCATACCTGATTTCCCTTCTTCAATGGAACTTTGGCATTCATATCAATTCGCCTTAAGGATGAGTGAAACCGATTTTCTTTTTGAAAAATCGGTTTTCTGCTGTAATCATTATTTTTCGCGATGCAAATACATTAATTTCAAAGACAGAAGTGACAGTGGGCGTGATAGCGGGCGTAACGCCCGATGGGATTACGCACACGTGGGAAAATCCGATCAACTGTGAAAACACGTTTACAGGAATCGTTTACAGAGCCACGTGGCGTGGATAAGTAGCTTTACAATCTTTTAGAGAACCAAAATATAACATCATTTTTTAATTTCGTCGAAATTTGTTCGAAGAAAAATTTTTGGAAAATCGAGGAGACGTCGACAAACTGCAGAGTAACTCTGGTAAGTGTCGCACTATTTCGCGTTCACCGATCACAAATGTGCCGTGCTATCATTCACGTGACTCTAATCGCCGCACTGCCTAGATTTGAACTGGCATTCGGTTGGAAAAGCCTATTTGAAATAGTTGTTCGATTGGTTACATATCCATGTTAAACCTTGCAAAATTTAAGAGGTTTCTTATGGTATCCTGTCACCTGCAAATGTTCACTGAAGTCTCCGTAGGCCTCTAGAATAGTCCGGACCCTTTAGGGCATAAAATGAACATGTCGACATATGGGTTATCATGAAAAGCTTTTACAACCAGTTTAAACTTACCCATTCTTCTAAGACCTGTATTATATTCTCTCTCTTTCAAACGTAATTTCCAAAATAATGTTACTATCATGTGATGAATAAATTTCATCAACACATGCCAGCTGAGAGTCACGGGGTATTCTTGTGCAAAGTCATACCTCATGGGCAAAAATAACGGAGATTACAAATAATTAAACCACCATATTTAAGTGACTTGCGGAGTCATCAACGTCATAACTTACTTTTGGTTCTCAGGAGCGCGAGGGAAGAGCATCAGTAAGTCGTGTTACATATAGGTCCATTTTGATCCACAGTTTTCGAAATTTTTGCCAATATTATTTGAGTTAGCCAGAACTTCAGGAACTTTTTAAAGTATTGAAATGTTTAATACTTCACTTAATTTATAATTTCTCAGACTTCCATGAAAAAGAAAAAATTGGTGTCATGTCGATCGAGAAGGTGGCTCATAGATTTATTATATTATACTGCTGATCGATTGTTGAGCAAACTCGTTGATCGCTGTAAATTTTAATCCTTCGATTCGGTTTAAACCATGGAACTTTAATTTTTTAACGCAGTGTTGATTACTTATAATCGTTGTATACAGTTGTATAAATTGGTTCCCCTTCGCAAGTTATGCTCTTTTTTACTTACCACAATAATTTCATCATTTCGCAATATTTATCATGTATGTGTAACAGTGCCTCTCCGCGTGACACAGCTTTCATTAATTGTTAAATCTGGAATGGACTTCTGGACTTGATTTACGGATGCCTTACATTTGAGAAATTTATGATTGGTTTGTTGCCATCTTTGATTTTCTTAGGTGGATATGGCTGGAGGGGGGGGGGGGGGTCAGTCGTCGCCAAACGAGCAAAAGAGGGGGGGCATAAAAATTTACTGCAAACCAACTGCCAAGGAAGGGGGGATCATAAGAATGTCATATAGGTAAATTTAATCGTGACACAGCAAAATCTTTCATCCCTCTCCCCCCCTCCCTCAGGAGACAAATAATGACCAGTCTCAGTCCAATACCCAGACCTTCCACAACCAAGCGGTTGTAAGGATTCCACGTTTTAGTAACACGGTAGGATCTGGTTACGAGATTAGACAGATCCCTAAAGGCACAGTCACGTGCACTGAGTCACGCAACGATACAACACCTTTTTTTTGTCTCTATAAGTCAATTGAGTTCAACTTATGATTACCAATTATCATTATTATAAAAACAAATAACGATTTTAACAATCTTCTAAATCCTGACAGCATCGATATCATACGTGCAGAGACTGAACCGCGTTGTTTTATCAGTAACTACAGGATTGACTGAAACAGTCTACCGTGAAAACAATGTTTCTTCACCTAATAATTTTTTTCAGAGATTGTCTGTCCTCTGGTATAATCATCTTCTATAGTGACCACTCCTAGTTTGTGGCCTACTCATCTCCAGCAAAAACACAGTCGGAGTACGCGGAGTTATGTTTCGCCGGTGTACATGTACTTGACGCCATTGTTAGAGGTGACCTTAAGCCTAAATGAGTTATAAATCTTGGAGAAATATGCAAAAACAAACAAACCAGACTTTGGATAATTCAATGCGAGTCTCAAAGATCGGTTGCAAAAATATTAAAATGCTTCCATTCTATATTGCAAACAAGAGATTGTAAACTGTTTATAATCTCATGCTTACAAAGGTCGTGCAGCGGCTGATGCGTGACAGACGTGACAGCCTCATCTGGAAAGCTTTGCGAGACGTTCAAATTTCCGATCATATAAAGGCGGAGTACCTTTTTCAGAAATAAACGCTCATAGAAAAGGTGAAAGTCACGGCCACCTTAATCATATATACATCTCTATACAGATTGGCGTCGTCGAACTTGTCTTTGCCCCGAAGACAGGGACATAATGGACATTAAAGCGTTGGAAACTTTTAGAGCACTAAATCACATTTGTGCAATGTGTTTCTGTCTTGTTTTTCACATTCAGTTTATCATTTATTCTCCTTCACGCAGTGACGTTCCATAAGGTATTCAGAGACAAACTACAGAACCATTCAAAGAAAACCAGCAGCAACTCAGAGAAACTTGGCTGCTGTTGGCCCACTGGATCCGAAAAAACTTTCAAACACTTTCCCCAGAAACTCGCTTTCGGGTGAGCGTTCATGGTTAGGAGACAAACTTATCGATGAACAAAGTTACTGCCGTTTGCCTACAAGAGAATATGGCCTTCTTCCATTTGAACGTGACCTTGCTGAAAGAAATCTCAGAGTTGCAAATTACCGACTTTCCAACGAGCGACAAAAGCAAAGAAATCAAGGTAGATATGGTAATTATTCCTTCATTTACCTTTCGCAACATATGTTGAAAATCTAATTCAGAGACGGCCTAAATGTCATCTTGAAACCGGCTTTCCCAGTTTGCAAGAAGGGAACCACACTGTCTGGAGTTCTATCAGTATAATCAATCTGCAAAGCCCTGTTCTTAGCATTCTTGAGTGTGGACTTGCATCAGTAGGACCCTGTTATTTTACCTTAGATAAATCTGCCCTTTACCCTTCATCAGTACATCGAACCCTCTGTCCTTAGTTTCCCTAGTTTCTGACCTGTATCCCCTGGTATCTCACCTGTATATTTTCTCAGCGATAGGATCTGTGTCTCAATTCAACCTAACAATGCTGCACTGCTATAACTTTCCACAGGAACTATGGAAACTAGAGATCAGCAAAACAACACGGAACATGTGCACGAGGAACCGATTCAGTCTAGCCCCCGACTGAGCTCGAAATTACCCTTGGATCGTCGCAGTAGTGGGGAGGACGGTACGAGAGTCCATTCTCATCTTAACGGAAACGCACATCACCAAGACAACGTTAGCCAAGACAGTAACTCTGAAAACGAAGACAAACATGGACATGAGGCAGCCAATAATTACACGAGCAGTTCTAATGTCGATGACGATCGTGGTGGTGGTGACGACGATAATACTGATGATTATGATGTCATTAGCAACAACGAAGAAAGCAGTGAGAACAAAGACGGTGACGTAGTTAATGACGATGACAATGATGAGAACTGTGATAAAAACTGTGGAATTGAATATCTTAATAATCATGAAAGTAGCAATAATTACGATGATGAAGAAAACTTTGCCAGCAACAATGGTGTTTGTGCTGAGAGTTTCAACATTCAAGCCCCTCTATGCCCAAAAGAAGACGAAACTTTTGTGGAGTCAGATGAAACCGATGAGTCTCTAACTGAAGAATTAAACGCCAGCTTGCTATGTAACTCACAGTGCAGCATTGGTGAAGACACAGGCAACTCTAGTACTGAGAACAATGATGGAAGCGTGGCCAGTAGTAGTAGCAATAATGACAGTTCTTGTGAAAATTCCAACACCAGAAGTGACAAGAAGAAAACTAAAGACCTGCAAAAACCTAGCAGCTATAGAGTAGGAAATAATGGCGAGCTTTCAGTGAAAAGAGATAGTGAAGCAACAAGTCAAGGAGCAAGACCAAAGATTCTTGCGAAGAATCCAGTGTTTTTTAACGCATTTGAAACAAACTGCCATAATGGGAAGATACCATCCTTGGAGACAACTGGTATTAATCAAAACTTTCTCGCCCGGCACTCAACAGATCCGAGTCTTCCACAGAGCTCGTTTGCAAAAACTTATGACATGCCACCTAGCAACAAGAATACAAACGATTGGACTCAACACTCTATAAGCAGTAAAAGCAGTTCCTCCTCACTTTGGAACCTTCACCGTTCACCGGCTCCAGAAAGAAGTGGGTTGATGCTAGAGAATGCATATTTCAGGGGGTTGAGTTCATGGTATAGAGATCCAATGCCAGTGAATTACCAACCTGTAACACCAATGACGGGACAGATCCCCAGCGCCAGTGGCTTCAGCCGAGACGTTGACTCGTTTAACTGGGATGAAAACCTGCCAAGTAACAAACATCAAACAGGCTTTTCAAGTTTTGAAGACTTTTTTATAGGAAATGAGACTCCGACAGCATCACCTTTACTTGGAGTCAGACCATTGGCGCCCGCTGTGAGATATCCAACCGTCACCGCACCAAATTTTCCTACCACCACTTGGCAGTTCTCTTCAAGCACGACTTCAGGAAGTGTAGCCCCAGTTACTTCTACTTATGATGTGTTTAGCAGTCATGAACAAGAACGCGTAGGGGACTTCAACAGGTCCAGGCCCTCCCAAGGAGATACCCAAGCTAATAGTGGTTTGACTTCATCAGAAATGGTTCATTCAGAGAGGCGAGAGGAAAGCTTGAGGAGCCATGGCCCTTTCAATTATCAACAGGAAGGTTCTTGTGCTTCAGTATCGCTCAGGGACCCTTCACTGGTTTCTCTAGAAAAACAAGTGGCTGAAATCGATAGAGTTCTTAAAGAGCGAGAAGAGAGGACCAAAAAGCAGAGAGAGGCAGCACAAAGACTTAGGGATACAAGAGAAAAAAGGCAAAGAGAAGCGAGAGAAAGGAAAGAGAGAGAAGAGACGGAAAGGAGAGAACAAGAAGAGAGAGAAAGGAGGGAAAGGGAAGAGAGAGAGATGAGAGAAAGAGAAGAGAGAGAAACGAGAGAGAGAGAGGAACGAGAAAATAGAGAGAGAATGGAAAGAGAATTGGAAGAGCGAAGAGAAACGGAAACAAGAGTGAGAGAAGACAGAACCGCAGAAGAGAGCCTTTCACTTCAGGAGACTCCACAATGGCAGTGTGAACATTACCAGCGGAGATGTAGTGTCAAGTTTCCATGTTGCGGAGTGTTTTATTCGTGCCACCGCTGTCACAATTTATCGGGGACATGCCCTACTGATGATAAGAAGGCACATCATGCGACGCATGTCAAGTGCGGAAATTGTGGACACGAAGAAGAGGTTAGTATCTTTTGTATACTTGGAATCTTGTCGTACTGAAGAAGCTTAGAGAAAAAAAGCTCTTAAAATCAGTTTTATCTCTGAATACCTGACGTTAAGATCCCATGGGAGTGAGTTGGATGTAACTTCACATTTATCAGAAAAGCAAGACCAATAGAAATCCTTCGGTTTGAGCGAGGTAAAAACCAAATTCCTTGTAAACACAAAGGTCAATCAGCGCGGGGAAACAGTTGTACCCAGGTACCCACTGATCATAGTTTAACATCTGACTGGCCGGGGTGAGGTGGTGTGAGTCTTTTAGATCAATCATACAGTTCTATAATGAAAAACCAATACCGCATGCTGGTTTATTTTCGTCACTCAGTTGAAACAATATGACTTCTAACTTCTCTACATTGCAGATAAATGAAGGAAGTCACACCTGTAGACGCTGTGGAATAAAAAAATCCGAATATTTCTGCCCGAAGTGTAAGCATTTTACAGGAGTTGATAAGAACCCCTTTCACTGCGAGAAGTGTGAAATCTGCCGGTAGGTTGTTTTTAAGTCGATTTCAAACGTACTGAGACTTATAGAAACGTTTGTAAGCTTGTTGAAGTTTTTCATATTTGTTTGTTATACACTCTAGCCACTTACGGATGGAAAAAAGGCTAAGTGGGCCTTTAATCGTTTCTACAATGCACCGTCCTCTTGAAAAATACTAAGATAGTTTCAAGGGAATACAACAACTCTTTTTACTTGTAACCAGCACGTCCTTTAAAACTTGTTTTGATATCATTTCATATTTCCTCTGCCGAAGCAGAGTTCGGTTCGTCAAATTATCGATTAGATTTCATGGTACTGTTCGTCTGTTCAGTAATAGATCACAGATGACGTCAAAATTGGGTAACAATAGAAAAAAGTGGCATATGAGGCGCGGCCGAGTGTATTACTGATGTTCTTACCACATGTTGACTTCTTACTCTACAGACCCACAGCAATGTGAGATATATTTGTTTTTATGATAAAATTAGTAAAATGTTGTTAATGGTGAGTCAGACGTCTCTCCATGCGTCTGTCCTTCAATCGTAACCAAGAACCAATCAAAATGAGTGTATGACTCGATTTATCATGTAAGGCTGATTTTGATACGAGTGCTTCTGGCAGTGAATTTATTCGCAGTTATGCATTACCTTACAAGATTTTGAGCAAGTTTAAAAAGATCATTAAAAGACGTAACATTAAAATAAACCAGACGATAATACGTAGCGTAAAGGCCTGTTTTGCCCTTGCAAAGAACAGCACATCAGTTCTTTGTTTTGCGAGCTTTAAAGTTTATGAGGGAAACCAAGTTAGAATAACGTTAGTGGTGCCATGGGCCTATTATGCATTTTGAGTGATTTTTTTTTCTCTTATTATTTTATTTAGCATTTACAAGGACAGATCATTTCACTGCGACGTGTGCAATGTTTGCTTGGACAAGCGACTGGAGGGAAAACACAAATGTCGGCCGAATTCAGGACATGACGAGTGTTGCATCTGCTTGGAGGTAATTAGAGATCATAGTTCATACTTTTAAATTACTTCAAACACGGAGCCGTTATCTTACACATCTTAGCGATACTGAGCGACCTCACAGCCGCAAGAGACACCTTACAGTTGCACGGTGTGTGTTTCTGCAAGAGTGTTATTGACACTTTCTATTTTGCTCGATATTTCAGGACGCGTTTAGCGGTTGTCAGATCCTGCCATGCTCACACAAGGTTCACAGGGAGTGTGCCATTGCAATGGTACAGAATGGCGTGTAAGTATGCTTAAATAGTCAACAACAACTGTTCGTAACCTTTAAAAGAATATGAATGCCCGATGGTGAGTTTTAACAAAGGAATAATGGTAATATTGGCGATAAATGACAATGATTATAAATCATCAAAAAAAGTTTTTAAAAATCTGAAAAGGTATAAGGACGTCAGTCCTTCGGGGAGGCGATGCTGTCATCGCTAAGCCGTTTCCGTAATTACCAATTGGATTATTAGCTTTTCTTTTTGGTGCCATGAAAACGCTATTTTTCTCTAGGAATGCAAACATGTAACCAACATTCTATAGGCGAAAAAGCTCAACGTTATATTAAGCAATGAGGTACAATGACTGACGGCAAATTATGCTTGATTGTCGAATGCGGAATTCCTTTTGTTTTCTTCACTCTGTTGTTGTTGTTCTTGAAAACCCTTGGCAGCCTCTCGACCAATCTAAAAGCAAAACTAATACCAATTGCGACTTGGTCAAAGGTTTTCCCGTGCATCAGGCAATTTCCTCGCTTCACTTTGAGTTCTTCTTAGCTTGGAGCAATTTCAATCGAGTTTCAAAAGTAACTTGGATTGCATTGACTTTCCTACACTACGCTCCACGATTGTTCTAGAAAACTCACGTCCGCCTCTCAACCGATCAGATGCAAAACTAAACCCATTCGAGACTTGGTCACATTTTTCCCACCTTTGATTTCCTTTGATTTCTCACTGGCTCCTTGTAAAATTGTCCTTTTTCTGATTGGCGCTTTTGATTCTTTGGTTTTAGTTTTTCGAACCTCGATCGCAAGTCGCTCTAATAACTTACACCGAATAGATATCCGACAGGTTTTAATTGTTTCTTTTGCTTTTAGACGTAATTGTCCAATATGCCGCCACCCTTTGTATGGACAGCTCCAGCAGTAACTTCATGAAACAGAGGATCCAAGCCAAGATGGCGAATACAGGCTAGAATTCTTTATTACCGAGTGCTTATACTATTAGCATCACGGAATGTGTACTTTGCGTTGATTGCCAACTTTTCATCTAATGTTGACTGCTGTCACTTATTTTGTAATCAATTTGGATTCAGCACTAAAAGGAGAATGAAGGTAGAATATTTTTGCCAGATTGCAAATGCTTCAGAAAGTTTTAACAACACTTACAAGATAAGAAAAATAGCAAACAAAATAAAATGCTCACGCCTGATGAAAAGCAAAAATAGATGAATGGTTAAGGTTACTTCCCACCTTCACAAGCCGATAAAATCGTTTTTTCTTTTATCTGACTAACTTGAAGTCAGAAATTTTCCCTGACGTCTACAAAAAAATTTGAAAATACCTCAAAAAGCGTCCAAGTTATTTAGAAAAACGTAGCTTCAAATGAGTTACTTTATCAGAAAGGAGTCATAATCTCGTAAATGGGCGAATTCCCTGAGGAAAGTTTTCGCGGCAACAGCTCATCTCAGAGTTCGTATTTCTTTCATTATTTAAGTACCAGCCTTGATACAATAATATCAACAATCGCCTCGAATCGTTATTCTTAAATCATAAAAAACCTACCCAAGGAAAGTCATTTTAGCAATAAGGGTATTCCTTAAGCTGTCTGTCGATTTGTTGTCTTAGTTTTCGGTACATTTTCCGGCTCTACCCTTTTTTCTGCGGGTTTTTCCTTTGCCTTTGGCAACTTTGCCTATTATTGTGTCGTCCTCCTCAACGCTCCACCAAGCGAGATTGAAAAAAAGTGTGCGCAATGCAATACTTTTCCCGTCCTGGCGTACCACTTGATGAAAATATGTCTTGGTGTGCCAATTAACGAAAATTTACCCAATTGGTCCAACTGGGCCAAGTGACCCAACTGACTCAACTGACCCAACTGACCCAAATGAATAAAAAATTACGACGTCTGGAAATTAGGAATGAAGTCGTTGTCAGGGGAGATGGAAATTGTTTTTACCAGACTGTTGCTCTCTAGAAGCATAAAACAAGCGATGAAAATCAAGAGGAAATCCCCTGGTCATATGGTAGTTTGTTTGAGAAAAATCCAAAGGTTTTTCAGCTGCAACTTTTCTCCTTGAACTCTTAGGAAGATCTTGTTATAAAAAAGCAAGATAACGCGAACTCCGGCAGAAACTGTGGCATCAATTCAGTTGTGCATCACTCCTTAGCGACCTAGTCTTACCTACTCATCGTCTCAGAAGAAAGGTTTAAGTTTTTAGCCAATTATCAACGCTGATTCGTTTTCATTGATCACAAAAAAGAAGTAATGTTGGTGTTTAATCACTTGAATGTACCACGGTTATATTGAATGTTCAAGCACACCATTTCAATCTTCAGCTGCCTCGAGGTAGCTGTTGTAGCTAGCGATCTTTTGTATTACTAAGCAGAGAAAAAAGCTGGAAGTAGACTTAACAGATGTCAAACAGAAAAAGAAAAAATAAAGACTGAGAAGGCTTTGTCAAGTTATTGCTTGGCGATTTATGGCTTGCATTTCTGAATTTCGAGGCCATTTAAACCTTGCGTTTAAAGTATTTACTCTATTGTTGATTGATGCCTTGAGAATAAGATTATGCAGCCATTCTGCTCTTGCTGCGGCATTCGATACGCGAAAGGTTCGATAAATTAATTTTTTATCGTAGACTGATGTTATTATACTTTCTTCTAACATCTAGTTTGCTAAGATTTTGTAGAATATTACACGGGTACGAATTTCTTCTGATGGACGCCCGTAAAGGTGGGAAGTAACCTTAATAGGTCACTAGTCGACACAGGCAACCGATTATTGAGAAAGATTCTGCTCTTTTATCACTAAACTGAGCTTAAAGATTGTAGGCCATGAAAACTACTCCTTAATTAACGGAAAGGGTGGGTGGGGGGTGGGTAGGGGTAAACTGGCTAACGAGGATGTGCCTCTGGATGGGGCCGCATTTCCATGACTGAATTAAATATCATGGAGTTGCTCAAGAAATTATAATCTCTTGAGTTACTAAAAGGGGATTGCATATTTTTTGGGGGATTTTAGAGGTAAGATATCTCTGGTAAGTAGGAATTTAAAAATGGAAAGTTCCGCGGTTACAAAGTTCTTACCATACTACCAGGAGAGACTAAGTTGGCGTCTTCGAGGCCATTTTAGCGAGTTCTCCATTTCTAGGTTTATTACTCCTCAGGAGTAGTAAACCTAGAAATGGAGAACTCGCTAAAATGGCTTCTTTTCAACACAGTAAGCGGTCAGACAACAAGCGATGAACCGTGGAAGTAAGGTGAGGTATTTTTCTTGAGAGTTTGACTGTACTTTTACTTCCAAAGAGAGGTCGTTTCCCATAAAAACTCTTATATTTTCGCCATGACTCTTATTTTGCAAGATGATCATCTTGCAACTGGAGCTTGAGCTGCCTGTGATGTAAGTGGACAGGACGCGTCATGTGTGCGCGCTGTTGTCTCGCATTTGGCCGAGTTAACAGATGCTTTTTTACGAAAATGTATGACCAATGTCTAGTTCATATCTCCAATTTTTTCATAATTTTGATCAATTGGTAACATGACTTCGTGCCGTCCAATTCTGACCGTAATCATACTCCTGATTAACAAAACGGACTCCCGTTTCGCAGTCGTCCGATTTTGTTAATCACTCGTATGATTACAGACCGAATTGCACACCACTCGGTCCTATTACTATTAGGGACCTTACGATCCGACAACGGCGACGGCGACGGCAACGTGAGAAGTCTGGGTCGAGCGGGGCCACGTCGTGTTGGCGTTCCCGCCAAAATTGAGATTACGAATTTTACGAGCGAGAACGTTGACGACGGTCATTGATGTTTATCGTGTTTAAGTCAACGAAAGTTTTTTAGAAAGCCATGCCAAAGTTCCGTGACACTATTCTCCTGGCTCATGCTTCCCGTTTGATTAACGCTGAGCCAGTGAGTTCCTTGTAAAATAAGGTTAATCTACGATTATAAATGAAAATTAGCTCAATGAAAGTATTTATACACTTTGCATCGGTCGAATCTAGTACCGCTGCCGACAAAATCTCTCTACTATTTCCTAGTAAACCCAAAATAAAATTAAGCTTAATTGTTCTATTTTTTTGATCGAGAAAAAAGTTAGAAAGTAAGTGATAAGAAAGCTCAGTGATAGCGAGTGAAGTACAATCACAAACAAAGCAAAATAAGTCAAATCTCTCTCCATTCAGTTTGTGGTCGTATACAAAAGACTCCACGCTCTGTTCGTTTCGGATATTTCAAACAAACTAGTATTCTTTTAAATTTAGTCGCAAAGTCTCGTTTTTACCTTGATTCATTTGCCATAGTTGGGTTTTAATTTCCACGTTTTCGCACAACGTCAAACAAGGCTTCTAGACGTCCGCGCGTGAAGGGACACCGCCGTCTCAGTAATCTACTCATTCGCAGTACGTAACCGGAAGTAAAAAAGTCCCACGTCGCCGTCGCCGTCGCCGTTGTCGGATCGTAAGGTCCCTATTATTAAATCCGTTCGGCTGTGTGTCTAAACGGGAGGCTTACATCGACTTCGGTAAAAAGTAAGATGGTAAAAATGGAAAAGTGCAAGAGTTTTGGCTCTTTTGTAGTTACGTGGCTATGAAAGACTGTAAAATACTTTACCAAGCCTTCACCTTCTTCTAGCCTTCTTCAAGTAAGGCTACGCGCGAATATGAAATATTTTCCTGTGGTGCAAAAAATGTCCTGGTGATCTGTTGGTTAACTCAAAGTTTGCATCATAGTATGACACTTCGAGATTGGTATTTCTTTGGGTCAGTGATTCTTTATCGCTGGGAGAGGGGAGTAGGAGGTTTTTTAGGAGGTATCTCATGGCTTTCAGGGGGAAAGGAGGGGGATCAGTCATCGCCAACAAAGTATTGAAAGGAGGATGGTACAAAAGGAGGGGGGAATCATGGGGGATTGATGATGTGGGAGTCAAGTAAATTTTATCGTGACGCAACCAAAATCCTCACCCCCTCCCCACCCCCTGACAATGAATAATGACCGGTCCATTATGGCTCCATTATATATTTCTGCCGGCTCTTATCAATAGAGCGACTGAGGCTTAAAATTAAAGCCTACTTGCCATCGCCTATCAAGAGACTCCCATAGATATATTCCCCTTCTAAGTTATTACTGTCGTTTGAGACTGATCTGAATCCAAAACACCTTTCTGTCACGGTTTAATTATCGCGGGAACACCTTATTACCCTATGCTGCTTTGTTCGTAACCTTAGGGCAGGAGTCAGGTAGCTCTCTGCTTAGTGGTCGCTATCTCTTGTTCACCTCACCTCTGGGAAGGAGTGATAGCAACATCGTTCCCAGGGTCCTCTTACTTCGACCTTTGAGGACGGAAGAGGGTTATACCGTTGTACTTATTCCCTTTGTTGTAGATATAATAATATTATAATATTTAATACTTATATTGCGCTTTTTCTATAAAAATACTCAAAAGCGCATTACAATATTATTAAAAACTAAATTAAAACCAGTAAAATTACTCGGTAAAATTACAATATTACAATATTAACATTACAATATTAAAAAAAATAAAAATAATAAAAATAAAATAAATAAATAAATAAATAATCTAACTAAAAGCCTTTTTAAATAAATATGTTTTAACAGAGCGTTTAAAAGAGTCGATTGATGTTTCCTGTCTAATTGGCAGAGGAAGACTGTTCCATAAAAAGGGGGCAGCCATCGATAACGCGCGATCTCCCAAGGTCTTCTTCGTTCTTAGCTGAGGTCTTTCTAACAATATACCATTATTGTTACGGCGTAGTTGGTAACGTGAGACCAGATAAGACAGAGACAAGATCCTTAAGATAGCTAGGCGCAACACCGTGAAGAATCTTAAATGTAACAAGGAGAATCTTAAAATCTACGCGCAAGCGCACTGGTAGCCAGTGGAGTTCTCTTAGCAAAGGAGTAACGTGACAATACTTAGGTGCACAGTAAACCAATCGAGCACTGGCATTCATGACTCTTTGAAGTTTCTTAATTAGATACTCAGGAGCACCGTACAATAAACCATTACAGTAGTCAAGCCTGCTTGTGATGAACGCGTGAACAAGCCTCACGGTGGACTCACGAGACAAATACTTCCTAATGTGCCGGATATTGTACAAATAATAAAACGCGCTAGCACAAGTCTTAGTCACATGAGTCGACATGTCCAGATGAGAATCGAACCAGGTGCCCAAATTGCGCACTGAAGAAACAGGCGATACCTCAGCTTGGCCGATCTTGATCTTGTCAACGGACACCTTTGATAACTGTCGTTCCGTGCCAATGATCAGGAACTCAGTTTTATCGTCATTTAGCATTAACTTATCATCTCTCATCCAAGCGCGAACGTCACGAATACAGTTCTCAATCGCAATCACAGCATCAGCCTCGCTGGTCTTATCAACGGGATTAAACGATATATATAGCTGTGTATCGTCCGCGTAGGTGTGAACGGATGGCAGATGAGATTTCATTATGTCAAACAGCGAACTCGCGTAGATGGTAAATAAGATATGTCACTGTTGTGAGGGTTGTCCCTAAATCCTATCGGCTAAAGGTACGCCCGAGGAGCATTAGTAAAGAGTTTCCGAGTCGGGTGATTATCGGACATTGTCGGCAATTTCAGTACTATTCCAGTAACACCATTTGCGATTTACCGACAGTCATCAAGCAACGTGATTGAACCAGACATTATTACTTGCTTTGCATGTGAAGAGTACATTTTTTCGCTAAATTTTGTATGGCTGTTTCCTTCACCCTCGTCGATCTTAAGTCTCTCGTTAAGCAGAGTTTTAGCTTAACACTGTAGCCGCCAAGACCTACGCTTGCAAAGGTAAACAAAACTTATGAATAGTATTGCCACTATAATACCCTTGTCATAGTGCTACTGGCTATAGAGATCCCCGAGATAAAGTTCTAATTGTCTTCAGTTATACCTCTAGCCGGTAGGATCTCAGGAGGTTAACCGTTAATATGGTAAAACATGGTTAACTAAGGGTATATGGGTGTTAACGTGGTAGAACATGGCTTAATTGGTGTGGAATAGGCCTATGTTTTACTACAGTTAGCTTCACATTTCACTTTTTTTATACTCCAAATTAGTCTTACACTCCTTTTTTAGTCTTACACTCATTTTTTCAAGAATACTTTAACATTTATTTATTTTTATTTGGTCTTGTACTTCTAGCTAGTAGGATCTAAAGGGGCTTAGAAAATACTACCGGCTGAGGGTACAGCTTGCATATTTAATCGACTTTGCCTAATTTTTACTATGGTTTGCTTCACATTTGAATTTTCTGCACTCCAAATTAGTCTTTCATTCCTTTGAATAACTTTTTCTAAGAATACATATAAATTTATATATTTCTTTATTTGGTCTTGTACCTCTACCTGGTAGGATCTTAAGAGGCTCAGAAAATACTACAGGCTAGAGTTACAGCTTGCATATTTAGTCAACTTTGCCTAAATTTTACAATGGTTTGCTCTACATTTTACTTTTCAGCATTACAACTTAGTCTTACGCTCCTTGGAATCACTTGAATTTTATTTGGTACCTCTAGCTGGTAAGATCTTTGAAGGCTTACTAGAAAATACAAGAGGTACAGCTTGCATATTTGATCTACTTTGCCCAATTTTTATGACAGTTTGCTTTGAATTTTACTGTTGGGCATTCCATTTAGTCTTACACCTCATAAGAATAACTTTTTTCATGAATATCCTCTTGTTCCTCAGTCATGTACCTCTAGCTGGTAGGATCTCAGATGGCTTAGAAAATACTATAAGCTAGAGGCACTTCATGCATATGAGGTGAATTTAATTCATATCATTTACTTTTTGACTTATGGA